TCCCTTTAGTTGTTTTTTTTTTTGTTTTTAACCAAAATTACAATTTAAACTACAGCAACGGGCATGTATCCCTTTAGTCATGTACAAGAAAACAATTTAATTACTGACTTTTTGGTGTTTTTTGAATCATATGGCGATCTGACCTTAAATAGTTTTTTTGTAGGTGACTAAAGGAATACACGGCCATCAAGGTAGTTTAAAGTGTATTTTTTGTATGAAACTCAAGAGATAAATGGGGATAAACTAAAGGGATAATCAGGGCTAGCATGCGTGTATGCATATCTAACATCTTGCTCATGGGTATTGACTATGGGTATGCTGGTCTGACGGAGTATGATGATCTGACAGAACACGGGCATGATGGGGAATGATCTATAAGATTATTAATATTTGAAAAATGAAAAACATTTAACACACATCTTAAATAGAATATAAACCTCATACATGTTAGAATAAAATTAAAATATAGATAGACAGGATTTTATGGTTGTGGTCGCTGTGAAAACAGGAATCTATCTAGAAAATGTTTCCCAGACTGGATAAGATCTAGACCCAAACTGGCTCAGTAAAAAACACGTATAGGTTTTGCCTCCCACAACCAGTCACCTAATCCCATCCATTGCAATATTTAAAAGGCTCCTTTCTAGTTAGCTACTTTATTATCACTAAATTCTGTTAAGAGTACTTTTTAGTTGTTCATTTATCACAATGATTTAAAATTGGGTTATGATGATTTTCCATCATCTTCATGTATCTCCACATAATGTGTGGGGGGTGGGGTGGGGGTTGGGATTAACAGTGAATATACCAGTCCTTACTATATCATGATATAGTAGGGAATTACACATTACTCTCACTGAGCTATGTTCAACTTAGACTACCTACATGACATTTGTTAATAAATATGTTTGTTTTTCATTGACAAATATATTAAATACCGGTAAGTACTTCTCACTGGTAATGGCGTTATGTTACCTGCAGGCTAGTGCAGCACGTTACCAAAACTTAATCAATATAAGAAACTTTCTACAAGTGCACTCTCTCAACTGTGGGAAGAGGTTTTCACAACATGGATGAGCAAAGACTGCAACAGACTGGTGACATGTCTAGGGTGTACCCCACCTCTCACCCATAGACTGCCAGCGATAGGCACTGGCCCTGGGAAAAAGTGGATAGAAGGATGGATGAAGGAGCAAAGAGCTGAGATACATCTACATGCCACTGAGTGGCTGACGGGAGCAAGGATAGAAGCATAGGTGACACAGAGTGGCTGAGGAGCTGTAAAGTGGTAGGGTGTTCAGTGTGCCTTAAGCAGAGACTGAGAGGAGGGACAGTGGTGCAGATCCACTGATACAATGACAGGTTTTCTAACGTTCTCAACTATCCATACAGTATGTTGGTTAAAAGAGTCTTTACTTTAAAGAAGCTTTTTATATTCTCTCACCAAAATATACAACTGACTGGGTGCTTGGTGCCTTTATCAACATATGTTGCTCTACTGTGTAATACTGAGTTCATCTGCATGATTTACTGTTCTTTTATCACATAAAAACACTTGGATATGAATAAGTTTGTTCAGTGTCTGCCTCTTTGTGCGCCTCTATTGATTGCTTGATATGGGCATAGGGGTGAGATTGTGTGAATGTGAATGGATGAATGAGAAGTTGTCTTTGTATACTTGTTAGGTTGGGTGTTTGTCTCCCATGCGGCCATCCTTATGTCTGACTTCCTTGTGTCAATGTGATCTGTGACACAAGACTATTGTCTAAACACCTTAGGTTTTGCCTTCCACACATGGATATCTAAGGGATATCTGCTGCTCTAGAAGCTTTTTTGATGTTTACTTTGGTTGTGTGCTGTCTTCTTTTTGTTCTTGTCATGTTCTCTGTTTTCTGTTCCTCTCATCTTATTTTGATATATTGTATATCTTGATATACTGTATTATCTTGATATACTGTATTATCTTGATATACTGTATATATATTGTTTATTTTTAATGCACCTTTTTCCTCCTTGTTTGCACCTTCTTTAACTTCTATGCCAATATGTGACCAGTGAATTACTCCTCTGTGAGATCAATAAAGCTCATCTAATCTAATCTAATCTCATACAGGTGTGGAAGCAGACTTCTATGAGTTACTGTATATACTCGGCTTTGTCTATTTTTGATCTTTACACGGATAGTGTGAGTAACTGGTGCATGATAACTAATGTGACTTTCTGGGGACTATATGATGCTTAGTGAGATGTAGTGTTGGATATGATACACAGTATAAAGAGCAATAGAAAGGTAAAGTTAGTAATATTTGTATAAATATTAGCAATTTTGAAAAGCACATGATCTGGGCACCTCACTGTTATGTTTTAGTTTCTTGTAAAACTAATGAGAGTTTTGAGTTAAAAGAGATTGTGCTAAACTGCTTCTGCTTTAATCAAATTAAAGACCCAGCAGGGCTGCTCTGTCCATAATGATGTTAATGATGTCATGATGATACCCCTGTAGAGGCCAGACTTTGCTTGTTGAATACTTGACAGGGCAGTTAAGACCGCTTAATAAGAGCAACTGATTTAGAAAGTAAAACTGTACAAAGCTCAAGATATAGCCTAAGTCTGTGGGTTTCTGCAAAGTTTAACAAGTATTTTCAGTGATCATCCTTTTAGACTTAAAAAAACCCCTCAACAAATATAAAATGCCCTGCTTTAATGTAATTATTTCTGTCTTAACTTTTAACATCTCTTTGGTGGAAATCTTGCAAGTTGAATCATCACTTTATCCAAAAATAAAAATGATTGACTATACTGAGTATCTATTTATATAAAGTTTTGGTGAAAGAAGGTTAGTCTAAGCGGAGAAAACCCACACAGATATATACTGGTATTCTTAGTACAAGATAAGATATCAGTGACAGTTTCATGAAAAAGTGAATCAACAGATTAATTTTCTGATTCACTGAAGAACAATCATTAGACCATAAGACCATAAGCAACTTTTATTTAGCAAGTTGCGGTAAACAATAAATGCTACCCTACATTTTGGAGCAGTAAATTAACAAAGGTTGCTTTGTTTTTTTCTAGAACCAAAAAAAAAAAAAAGCAATTGTAAAATTAACTTAGTTTGTTTGCACATTTTTTTAACTAAAAACTCCTTGTGTAAATGTTGTTATGAGGCTCCACACCCCTTAGTTCACATGTATCACTGTCTCTACCTGCATTCTCTTCATTTCCGACTTCTCACAGCACAGTGTCACCTCAAAAAAGTATTTCCTGCTTTTAACTAAAGCAGCTTTTATTAAATTTTTTTATCGTAACAAGAACTGTGAATCAAATCTAGAAACAGAGATAGGGAAGTTATTTCTTGTCACTATGCTTGCTATTGGATCCTTTGGTTTTGATAATATTGACCTAAAATATGGTTAAAAACAAATGTCCGTGTTTGTAGACTGCTTTGGTTGTCTTAAAAAAAATGTAAGAATTTTGGGACTTTTAATTTGTAAATTATTAATCAATAAAGAACTGCATTTATGAACAATAATTGCAAAATAGTCTGATAATATATACTAAATATATGACTAATTTCAATATTCGACCATAAAAATCTCAGATTATAATGTTTTCAGATTTACTTACATTCATTTATATTAATCAATTATTGGTTACCCTGTGACTCGCCAATAGGGTGGATGGATGTATTTGATGATAGCACTACTATAGCAGTAACAAGCATGGTCAATTATTACTGATCAATGCATATTAAACATATAAAACCAAGAGCTAATTTCCCTCCCAAAAATCAACACTAAATAAAATCAAACAAAAGATATAAGTATAAGCAGTACATCTAAAAGGAAAAGCACAACCCAAAGGTTAAAAGAGATAAAAGAGTACAGTAAAAAAAAAAATATTTATTTACAACAAGAATTCAGGTCTTATTGTACCAAAGAGATGGGTTGGTTAATAGTCTGGTCAAGAGAAATCTGTTATGTATTTCACATCACCGTCAGAGGTTGCCACCTAAATTCATTTGTTATGCAGCTTTACTGGAAGAAGATATAAAATATGTGGCTAAAAGGCAAATCTGAAAAATTATAACAAAAATCAATACAGCGCTACCAAGAGAAAGTCAAAGATGAATATCAGGAACTTGATTTAGCAGCTTATTAAGATAAATAGAATGTAAAAAATAAATGAAATGGCCTTTTTGTTGGTTGGTGATTCTGCATAACTGTTTTTTTAATAAATAGATTTTGGGAAAAAACTAATTTAAACAGTAGAAACAATGAAATTAGCAAACCAGAATCCCCTGTGAGCAGTCTGGGTCTTAGTTTCCCCTACCCCACCTTTATTTGAGTTAGGACGAAACTCAAAAAACCTGAAAAACCCCTCCTGTCTTTTCATCCACACCCCTCACCTAATATAAACCTCTGCCTTCCCAACAGAATCATTACTTCTATCTTGTCGTAACGTTTGATCACTTCGAAGAGAAGAAGCTTCAGGCCTTTTGAAGGAACAGGAGGATTTGTTTTTTAGCTTTGAGCAGAAACCAGGAGGAAAATCTACACAAAGATGGGAAAATTCCTATTTGCTGTTGTTGCAGCTGTTGCATCTCTGGTCTTGGGTAAGAGAAGCATAAAATGAAATTTACTCGCCTTTTAAGAAATTCATTTTCTTCTTTACTAAATTGTCTTTAAACATACAAGAATTTATATACATACAGTTTAGATTGATTAATTGAATCTAATCGTATTTGGATTATTCAAATACATAAAAATCCCATTAATCCAATATTTTAACTTTGGTCATTGTCTAAAAACAGATTAAGTAAGATTTTTTTAGAGATCCTTTTTAGGTGGTTGTATTCTACAGATAGGCATGAATAGTAAAAGAAACTAGTTTCTTTTGTCTCACAACGTTTTGCTGGTTTTTCAGACTATATATATGACTATACCAACAGATTATTAACTTTTTGTTGGAACTATGCTAACTTCTTTGCACTTTATTTTAAGTATGAAAAATCTCATAATGATAAATTCTAATTATCTTCATTTTAAAAATATTTATATCATTAAGAAAAGAAGATGATAGTTGCATTCTTCAGGTATCAGTCTCAGCAGCATTGTCAATTGATGGAGTTTAGGAGGTTTTCCAAATCAAATCTGGGTGTGGTCAACAGGAGAATTTAATCAGCAAAATTTGTATTTCCATAGAAAAAAAGGAAAGAAATAGCATAAATGATTTGAATTGGAAAAATAAAACAGAGGTTTACAACCAAAGTACGATAAATCATATCAGTATGGTGTGCTGGTGAAGATTCTCAGTCATCCTGGTCATAGAGTAGTGTTGGGCTACTCTATAATCAGCATGGTGAAAAGTTGGCTAAATTATTTTAAAAGCATGAAGGCCAAAATATTCCTGCAAAGTATTTCCAAGATTAATCATAGTTTGCTTTGCACTTTTCTCATCTTTGACTTAAACTTCTTCTGTTTCAGCGGAATCCCTGATCTGCAACAAATGCTCCCTCAGTCTGTTGGGCAACTGCTTGAATGCTGTAAATGAGACCTGCCCCACCAACTCTAGTGTCTGTTACACAGGAAGAGCCAGTAAGTGTCCTTTTATTGTCCTAAAACACGGCTGCATAGTCAAAAATTAGCTAACAGCTTTGGGAAGTCAATGAATTACCTAAATTATTGCCATCAGTACTTTGTTCAGATGTATGCTGTTTATCTAAGATTACGAAATTACGTAAATGTATCCCTTTGTGCAACATGGAGTGGAAAAGTTTTAAATCAGGAACTTCCAGTCTGATGGCCTCTTAGGTCAGCAGAGCAACAAAAGGTGGGGGTAAAATGAAGGTTAGAGCAGGGCAGTTGTTCTAAAATAAGATAAAGTTACAAAAAAGTTGCAAGAAAATTTTTAAGGCTTTTGAACCTATTTATTGTATTTGCCTTTTTTCTGCAGATTTCCCATCCCTGCCAGACTTTGTGGGTTTCAACATTCAGGGCTGCAAGGAAAACAGCACTGGATGTGATAGCACCACCCCTGACACTTTGCTGGGAGTCACCTATAACACCAAGATCACATGCTGCTCCACCGACAGCTGCAACCCCATCACACTCACATCCGCTGCTCCGTCCACCAAGATGACCTTCACTGTTGCTGCCAGTGGAGCCATCCTGGCCTCCATACTGGGAAGCATTTTGTAATAGAAAAGGAAAGCTGTTCAAGCTGTTTTCACAAAGGTTAATGAAGGATTAACATAATTAAGAGGTATACTAATTTGATTGGAACTAGGGTCAGATCTACCGGACCCAAGTTTTATTGTTTGCAGATGTTCAAATCATAAAAGTTCATCAAAGGGATGTTTCAAAGAAATTTTGAGGATTTTAATCTTTCTTGATTATGTCTCGCTTTTTTGTTTTTACAGTTAAATTAAAATGTATATATCTCTATCATTGTTGTGCCATAATAAACTTCACTACCTCTGTCTTTGAAGAATATTTATGCTTCAGTCTCTTTAATATTATATAATTTTTAAAGCCACATTAATGTTTATATTTACATTTTTTATCAACAACCTCAGATTAAACAAGGCATCAAGTAGACCACTTTTAGTTATCTAAGAATATAATTTTTGTAAAATTTTCTTCCTGAATAAAAAAGGATGAAAATTTGATACAGTTCATTCATGGAAGAGAATTAAAGTCAATCATTAAAAGAAAGGATGTAGAAAAACACAGTTTATGTTGAGATATTAATCCTTTTGTCAGATCATGATGTGGATCAGGGCCGTGCAGAGACCACTAAAGGGGCAGGTGCTTAAAAAAAAAAAAAGGGCACATCTTATCGCATTTTAGGACAGAATATTAACAAAGTCACATAGCTTTCAGAGTTTAATGAACAATGATAAATTACAAAATTGTGAGACATACAATCAAAGCTAAGAGAAATCTCTACATAGAACATAGAACTATGCATATGTAAAATATTTTATTAGTAATTTCTTTCTGCAGGTCTATTTTCTTATAGGAAAG